TGCGTCTTTCGGTATTAATTTATCTCAAAACCCAGCATTTTAAATTCTCAGAAACGATCATTGCGGGAAAATGGGACTAAGATTTTTTAAGGATCGATGCGATAAAACGATAGTTCGAGGAACGATAGAAGCGGGAAAATGTAACATTATTTTATATGGGATGTATTCGGGACCGAACAAAACGGACGATGCATCCAGGAAAACGATAGTTCCGGGAACGATGGATAGAGGTTTCACTGTACATGCAACTTGCATGCACAGTTAACTGAAGTGTGTGTGTTAATAAATATGCACAGATGCTAAAGGCATTTCCAATATCCAGCTCCATGAAAACTTTCAAGAACATTATACAAAGTAAGTTCAGAGAAGATTTGTGAAGGAACATTACAAACAGGAAGAAAACATACAAAATATTATAATGTATTCATTAAGTTTGCCTATCTAACAGAAAAGCCCTGAACAACAACTTTCCATAAGATCTGAATTACCTCGTTTCTTCTTACTATCCAACATGGTGAGATTGATTGAGCTCACACGTGAAAGATGTGGCATAGAACTGACATTTGCTAGTCGGCGTTGTGAAGTTTCCTATAAAATAAAGGTGTGTCCACATAAAAATATCAAAGAAGTTTAATTTGACTGCACAATGAGTAAAGATAATGTGATACCTGAGCTAAGTTTCGTAAGTCTTCATCTCTTAGATTTCTAGTGTCTTGAAGTTCATCAGATTCCTGATGATGCAGTCTACCATTTCGGTCACATCCAACAGAAACTGTAACACAAACACCTTATCAGTTGTTACCACTGAAGAGTTTCTGTATAATAATATAAAAAAGCAATGCTGCAACACACAAACACATACACACACATACATATATACAAGTGATTAAAAAGTCATGCACCCCATATTAAAATATTTATTTATGGTTAAAATTAAACACAATTTAACTGAATTAATAACACACAATATCACTGTGACTTACAAAAGCCCATGCAGGTAATGTCATGCTGTAACCTGATCACACCAGCCAATCAGCTGTCTTTCAACAGTAATATGAAAGGATGTCTTTTTCATAAGTGTAATGTGTGTTAATTGTCAACACTATTTGGCACCTCAATCTACTTAGTTTGTCAGAATAAGCTCAGGGATACATTTTCTGATTTTACAGTGTTCTGGTTGACTTCCAGTGTTAAGTGACAATAGTCTGGACAATATCCACCAAACTTTGTTATGCTCTCCATGAAAGTCACCAAAAACTC